CTTTAGCGTATGGATTATCTTGAGCTGTAGGGAGCTGAGAACCAGCAGTGCGGGAAGAGTGTTTTTTACCTTTCTCTAACTGCATAAAACTGATGGCTATGTACAAGGAAGAGAGGGACTGCTGGAGACAGCTGTCATCACCTGAGAGGCTCTTACCTGGATGGCAGAACAAACCTTATTTACCATACCGCTCCTCACCTTCTTATAACTTGCATTCCCCACCTGGAAGCCCCAAAGTCACTTTCCTTTGCTTAGCCTAAGACAATAGTTAAGCCTCAATCATCTGGCCACCTCCTTGAGTCTCGTTTCTTTGCGGGATTCCCTTGTATGCATGTAATTAAAACTTTGTGTGTACATAATTAAAACGTGGGTTCTCTCTTGATAGTTTTTCATCAGTTTGATTCCTGGGCCCAGCCGTTGAACCTAGGAGGGTAGATAAACAGGTTTATTTCCTCCCCTACAGGATTGAAAGGGTCTCCTACATGAAGCACCCTCTTAAAGTCACAAAGGGGCTGAGCTGGATCTCTATTTTGGGGGTACAGCTTCCTGCATATGACTCTACTGTACATCATAAGGCTTTTACAGACTTCATTTACAAATTGGTCTAAAGTAGCTCAGCGTCCCTGAGACACTGATGGTCTTTGAGATGATTTATCTAAGTCTGAAATGTTGGCTAATGTTCTTTACTAGCAAGGGCAAGGTTTTATATTGCTGATGTTTAACAGCCAAGGCACTTTTGTTATTTCTTATTAAAAAAAAAAAAAAAAAAGATGAGTGAGGCCGGGCACAGTGGCTCACACCTGTAACCCCAGAACTTTGGGAGGCCAAGGGGGGGCAGATCACCTGAAGTCAGGAGTTCAAGACCAGCCTGGCCAACATAGTGAAACCCTATCTCTACTAAAAGCACAAAAATTAGTCAGGCATGGTGGCAGGTGCCTGTAGTCCCAGCTACATGGGAGACTGAGGCAGGAGAATCACTTGAACCCAGGAGGTGGAGATTGCAGTGAGCCGAGATCACATCACTGTACCCCAGCCTGGGTGACAGAGTGAGACTCTGTCTCAAACATTAAAATTTAAATTTAAATTTAAAAAAAATGAGTGACTGTAACTCAGAAAGCATTAGGAGGCCTTACTGGAGATCTCTGCATAGAGTAGGGTTTAATACCTTTGGAAATGATTACATTTTGAATGTCTTAACAAAAATTATTGTATGGGGAGATAACACACAGAAGATGAGAGATTTAATAGAAATTCTACCTCAAGCCTAAGTATAGAAGCTCTCCCCAAGCCCAGGATCATTACAGTGAGTCTATAATTAAAAACTGTAGGATTCCTTGGTGTAAATAATCAGCACATACTAAAAGTAAAAATAAGCTTTATTTAATGACAGTCTGCCAGTATCTGTAGATTTTGGAATTTCTATTTTCATTCATCTGTGAGAGTTCTGGTTGTCTTTTAAGTCCCACAAAAATAACACAGTGGAAATCAATTGAAGGCACAGAGCCAGAAATATAGATAAGTTAGATGGTCTCTTGAATGTTTCAGCCGTGCCAAATATATTCCGTTAACTAACAGGAAAAATAAATGAATTGGCCAAAAACTACGAGCCCGCTGACCATGGGGCCTTACGGAACACACAGAGTATTTATTTGTATGAAAGGAAAAAATGCAAACGACTCACATGAACACGTGATGACACGAGTCTAGGTTCTGGAAATCTGGGCCATGCACACATCACCAAACCTTCAATGGAGTAAGGGTAGAACGGACTCCTTGGAGGAGTGCCAAAGCTGACAAGGAAGTATTGTTGGTGTCAACTCTATCCAAGAACCACAAAGCCCTTTGATATGAATTCTCCCTCCCATCTTGTGCCTGAGCCTCTCACCATCCAGGCCCCTACCTCTACAGAGTAAATTTAAAATTTACATAGACACTGAAATCAGCAAATCAGCACCGGCTTGCTTTTCTTTCCTGTCCTTCTCTGTCTGTCCAGTTGTCTCTGTCTCTCTCTCTCACCCTCCCTCTCCCCTCCTGCCTCTTTTTTTTTTTTTTTTTTGGAGATGGGGTCTAGCTGTGTTGCCCAGGCTGGAGTGCAGTGGCACAATCATGGCTCACTGCATCCTCAGACTCCCAGGCTCAAGCACAACCTCATCCTCCTGAGTAGCAGGGACTACAGACGTGCACCATCATGCCTGGCTATTTTCTTTTAACTTTTTGTAGAGGCAAGGTCTCCCGATATTTCCCAGGCTGGTCTCGAACTCCTGGGCTCAAGTGATTCCTCCACCTTGGCCTCCCAAAGCACTGGGATTACAAGGATAAGCTCACCCTCTGCCTCTTTTTTAAATAAGTTAATAACCATCTGATGCACTCAACATACCACACCAGAATACCTGGTTTGTGGTGAGGCTTCCTCCAGGCTTTTGGAGCATAGAGAAATTTAATCACTTTTGATGAGCTCCACTTTGAGCAACTTTTATTTCTACACTTAAACTAAACAGAAGCCTCCATGCATGGCACAGGTGCAACAGTGCAACTTCCACTCTGTCCTCCAGCACCCAGGGGTTGTGGAACAATGGCTGTGCCAGCCAACTCCAGGCTAGAGCACAGCTGGATGTGCCAGATACTCCCGCCTGCTGTCAGCTGTCGCCGCAGCACGAGAACACCAGCTTCTTCCTCCTAACACCCCAAAGCTTCAGGGTCTTGATCTTCAGCCCCTTCTTCCCTTCCCTTCGCCTTCCCCTTCCCCTTCACCTTCCCTTCCCTTCCCTTCCTCTTTTCTCTGGTTTTTTTTTTTTCTTGTTTTTTTTTTTTGTTTTGATTTTTGTTTTGTTTTTTCTTTTTTTTTGGTTTTGTTTTTTTCTTGTTTTTTTGTTTTTTCTTTTTCTTGTTTTTTTGTTTTTTTGTTTCTTGTTTCTTTTTTGTTTTTTTGTTTGTCATTAAATAAAGCTTATTTTTACTTTTAGTATGTGCTGATTACTTACACCGAGGAATCCTACAATTTTTAATTATGGTGCTCACTGTAATGATCCTGGGCTTGGGGAGAGCTTCTATACTTAGGCTTGAGGTAGAATTTCTATTAAATCTCTCATCTTCTGTGTGTTATCTCCCCATACAATAATTTTTGTTAAGACATTCAAAATGTAATCATTTCCAAAGGTATTAAACCCTACTCTATGCAGAGATCTCCAGTAAGGCCTCCTAATGCTTTCTGAATTACATTCACTCATTTTGTTTTTTGTTTTTTTGTTTCTTGTTTTTTTGTTTTTTGTTTTGTTTTTTTGTTTCTGGTTTTTTCTTGTTTTTTTGTTTTTCTTGTTTTTTTGTTTTTTTGCTTTTTTGTTTCTTGTTTTTTGTTCTTTGAGTCTCACTCTGTCACCCAGGCTGGAGTGCAGTGACACAATCTCAGCTCACTGTAACCTCCACCTCCCAGGTTCCAGCAATTCTCCTGCCTCAGCCTCCAGAGTAGCTGGGATTACAGGTGCCCACCACCACGCCCAGCTAATTTTTGTATTTTTAGTAGAGACGGGGTTTCCCCGTGTTGACCAGGCTGGTCTCAAACTCCTGACCTCAGGTGTTCTGCCCGCCTTTGCCTCCCAAAGTGCTGGGATTACAGGTGTGAGCCTCCGAATTGCAGGAATCACCACTCTGCCTCCACATTTCTACCATTCTCTCTTCCCAGTCACCAAACCCATTCCGTATCATTATCTACAGTCCCTTCTTACCAGAGTAAGGTAAGACCTTGCCGCTGTGGGGCCATTAAGACCAAAGCCTTAATCTCTGTTTAGCTCCTGAAGGCATTTGAGTTTGTGACCAAACAGCAAAAATCTAAAAAATCAGTAAAAGTAGACCATTTTCCTTTTATGATAAGGAGACAGACGGGAGTCTATTAAAACATACAAAGGATGATAAATAGGATAATGGTGCAATCCAGTGACCCGAGATAATGCAATGACTGTGGACCTACTGTTATTCAGTCTGCCTGAGATTAAAACTTATTCTAAAAATTATATGCTTTTGAAAATCTTATAAGGAAAACTTTTGTTTATTTGTTTGTTTGTTTGTTTTTGTTTGTTGAGATGTAGTCTTGCTCTGTCGCCCAGGCTGGAGTGCTCTGGTGCAACCTTGGCTCACTGTAACCTCTGCCTCCTAGGTTCAAGCAATTCTCCTGCCTCAGCCTCCTGAGTAGCTAGGACTACAAGTGCACATCACCATGCCCAGCTAATTTTTGTATTTTTAGTGGAGACAGGGTTTCACCAGGTTGGCCAGGCTGGACTGTTCTTCAGACTCTTGACCTCAAGTGATCCACCTGCCTCGGCCTCCCAAAGTGCTGGGATTAGAGGCATGAACCACCATGCCTGGCTGAAAAACTTTTAGTTTTGATTTTGTTTTTCATTTCAGTTATTTTTAGGTAGAACATTAGTTGATTCATTAAAATACATTTAAACAACATGAATTCAGGTAAATCACTGATTAGTAACCATAATTTCCCTCTTAATAGCTAATACTTAAAGAACGCTTACTTACTATTCTTTAATCTCACAAAAACCTTTTGAAGTAAATATTAATATTATCTGCATTTTGCAGAGGAAGAAACTGGAGATTAGTGAGATTAAGAAACAGCTTGCAAATTGGAAAACCAGCTGGAATCTAGGTCTCTTTGGGCCAAACCACAACTGCTTCATCTTTGCTGCCTCTTTGTGTGTGGATAGCTACAGATCCAAAACGCAGAAAAGGGTAGATTTGCATTGTAGCGATGGAATTCTTATTGCAATAATTGTTTAATTGCACAATACCCTCAAAAAACCACAATCTGTGTTCATGCCACTACTCTATTGATAGAAACTCTTTTGAAAGAATTTCGTAAATCTGAATACCAATTGTTGAAATGCTTGCCTTTTTAACATTCGAATGAATAGATTTTTATGAGTTTATTTTTGCCTGTCTAAATTGGTAAACATTTAGGTTTTCTGACTTTCTTTGTCTCTGAATATTTTTTTCAGGGTCAACGTCTTTTTGAAAAGTTGCTCCAACTGACTTCACAAAATATTGAAATCAAGCTAGTGAGTGATGTAACAGCTGATTCAAAGGTATTAGAAGCCTTGAAATTAAAGGGTAAGACCAAGGTTGATATAATCTACCACTGGGTTTTCTGTTAAGATACTTTTAATTGCCCTTAAAATAATATAGAATATTTTTAGTACATTTCACTTAGTACATAGTACATTTGCATCTCCTTTGAAAAACAGCTCGATTAAAGTTTTTAAGTGGAGGAACTAACTAATACATTGGGATTTAAAAAACTGTTGCGTATTAGTGTAAGCAAAATAATCTACTGGCCAATAAATGATGATAAACTAGAAAGAAGACTCTTTCCTTTTCTGAACGTTTCAACGTTGTGGTTACAGAGAAGAACCACTTCCCATCAGAATACACACTGGATCTCTACCTTTCTCTTGCCTGCCAAATGAAAATTCTTTTCATGCTATATATTTAAAAAATAATATAGTCAGGTCCTGGAGTCTATGAAACATTGCCTGATTCATGAGTTTTAAGACAATTCCACAGGAGAACACCATTTATATAGCCACTTTGCAATTTTTCTCACAATCTCATGAAGACTGAAAATAACTCCAAAATAACTTTATTTTGCTGTAATCTCAACCGAATTGAGCTCTCACATCCAAATAGTTTTTACTGTTTTGTAAAAATTGTTACCTGGAATTTATTATCCAAAGTGTAAGCCTCTGAAAGGCACGTTTGAGCCAGTGAAAATGTTCAAGCTGCCGGGTGTCCCTAGAAGAGAACAGGGCACTGACCTCAGTGAGTCATTCATGTTCCGCCTGATGGCGTTACAGCTCATGTTTGTGCTATTTAAACAGACTGTGCATTTTTTGCTTGTCATCTTCCCCACATTTTTAAGTGGCAATTCCTTCTAAAAATGGAACAGAACAGGAATCAAATAAGTGAGCCCCAGTGGCCCTTCCTCCTGGAGAAGAAAAATTGGAAGTGATAAAGCATATTGAAAGTCATAGACATATAGAAGACATAAGCTTGGCTACGCACATGTACCTATCACCATGCACACGTTTTCTACGCACAGGAAAATAAAACATGGGATAGTCGTATGTTTGAAAAGCTGTGCTGTGCTACCTGGGTGCAGCAGAATGTGTGTGAAGAACTTGTAAGTGCCTAGTTCAGTGGATTGACAGATAACAATCAATGTGGCTTAGAAATGTATTCTTACTTTTCCTATTTTTAAAAAATGTAAAATTGGATTCTCACTATCTGATAATTTGTTAGACAACACTTTTTTTTCTGAGGAATTGATTACTTTTGGTTAACTGAGGGTCCTGTATTTGCAGATGATTTTCCTCATGGAGTTTAGTAGCATCTCTTTGCGTTTGATTATCCCGGCAGGATAAAAAGCCGATGTGTTAGGAAGAGAAGGAGGGAGCCTGAGACATCCACAGCTCTCTTTCTTGCCATAGCCCATGCTAAATCTTGTAAACTCAACCAAAAGTTAAAACTGGGGGATATTAGGAAGCCTGACAGATTTTCTTAGGAGTTGCTGAATATTTGCTACTGTAAATAGCGATTGACAAATGCACAAATAAAGGCCTGGTTTCTGTTTCTATTGTGAACTATACATTAAAATTTCATTATAGTAATTGCATCTCACAGAAAAAGAAGTATTTGAATTTCCAAGCATATGTAGATACTACAACAACTTAGGTTCTGTTGATATGTAATAAGACTTCTTATCAAAATGCGAAAACAAATTATTTTCCTTCATAGGAGTAAAGCAATAAGTAGGACCCTATTTTCTCATAGCTATTTTCTAGGTAGCGATAGTAGGCCTCTCTGGCTCTTAGTAATGCACATGATGTGTATGCTGTATGTAGAACATGTATAAATCTTTAAAATACAGTTATTGTATTTCTCTACTCTTGTCCTTTGGTAGACATATATTAAATAACAGTGCATTTTAGAAATAATTTCATGGGACTATTTTAAATCTGTGAATGAATATCTTGCTTAAGGGTTATCTTTTTTTGCAGGGAGGGATTCTAGTCTTTTAGCAAAATTCTAGAAAGTTTTTTCCAGAAATATCTCACAAAAAAAATAGGTAAATATAAAATGAGCCATGAGCAATTTCAGCTGTAAGAGTTACTGAATGTAGAAACTAATCAAATATGTTGTGAAAAAGAATAAAAGCATGGCTTCTCGATAAATGGTAAAGATTTAGTGCAGGTGTAAGTAGGCCCAGAAAAGGCCAGGCAGGCTGGAGAAGTGAGACAGCTGGCCAAGGCTCCCCTGATGGGTGGTGTGCAGGTCATTCCTGTTCCTTTTGCTCCCCACGCTTTGCCTCTCTCCTTGACTTGGAAGTCAGAAACCATCTCTTCAAGGTCTCAAACTGTGGCTTGCAGGTGAGGTGCTTTTGAAACCTAGTCCTCATGAAGTCCTTGCACCCAGGGAGGGATTTAATTTTACACAAGAGTCTCTGTAAGTTCAAAATGGGTTTTACTAATCCGTTTTCTTAATTTCACTTCCTAACCATCTCCGCCTATATCCCTCATATAAACATCTCAAATGCAACGTGTTGACTCAGCTCACGTGCTTTCTTTCCCTCCCTGCGCCAACACAGCATCTGCCCCTGTACATAAATGTCCATCTGCTCAGTCATTCACGTTAGAAACTCAACTCCGCGCTCTCATATGCCACATCTAAGGAGCCACGGTCTATAGACTCTACCCACTTTGTCTGTCTTCTAGATACCACATTTCCTCCTCACTCACCTGCCTTATTTCAGGTCTGTTAATACTTTGCTCAAGCCTTTGTCACCTTTCCTCTTTCACCATCTGATCTTCCACACAGCTGCCAAAGAGATCTTCGACCACATGGTTATTATCAACTTACATGTTCACCCAAATTGCATGCAGGTGTGCGGATGCCTAAGGAATATCATGCATGCAATAAAAGGCACAAGTATTAAATATATAGCTCAATGAATTTCACAAAGTAAACACATCCACATAACACCTTCACAGATCAAGATGTAGAATATTGCAGACATCTCAGAAAGCCTTCTCAATCCCCCTTGCAGTCAATGCCCTCCACAGAGGGAACCACTATTTCGACCTCTACCATAGATTACCTTTATCTTTCTTTGAGCTTTATATAAATAGAATCGCAGAATTCTGTGTCTGGATTCCTTGGCTCAGTTTTATGTTTATAAGACCAATACATGTTGGATAAAACAGTGGTTTATTTTACATTGTTGTATAGTATTCCATTGTATGAATATAATACAATGGATCTGTTCTACTGATAGTAGATGTTTGGGTTTTTCCTAGTTTGGGTTATTATATATAGTGCTGCTGTGAGCATTCTTGTACATGTCTTTCAGATGCCTACACATATACATTTCTGTTGAGTATATACTTAGGATTAGGATTGCTGATCTAATAGGCTATATATATGTTCAATTTCAATAGATATTTGTCAGTCAGTTTTCTAAGTGGTTGTAGCAATTTACACTCTCACAAACACTATGTTAATGTTCTGCTTGCTCCATATCCTTGCAAAACTTGGCACCTTGTTCTTTTTATTTTAGCCATTCTGGTGGATAGGTATCATGTTGTATCTTTAATTTTCATTTCTCTGATGGCTAATTACATTGAGCATCTTCTCATATACTTATTGACCATTTCCATATTCTCTTGGAGAAGGTGCCTCTGCAAGTATTTTGCCCAGTGTTATTGTTGCTGTTTTTATTGGCCCATTCTTATTGATGATTAGGCTAGATTTTAATCTTTTGTTGGATATATGTATTTCAAGTATCTTCATCCATTTGAGGCTTGCCTTTTCACTCTTCCAATGATGTCTTTACATAAATGGAAATTCTTAGTTTTAATGAAATCTGATTTGTTAATTACTCCTTTATTGTTGATGCTCACTGCATCCTGTATAAAAACTATTTATCATTACAAGGTCATGGAGATTTTCTTGTTTGTTCTGTTCTGGATACTATATTATTTTGCTGTTCAGACTTAAGTCTGTGTTAAGTCTGGACTTTATTTTTGCTTATGGTATGAAGTAGCAATAAAGGTTAATTTTTATACAAATGGGGGGTCATTTGTTTAAAAAAACTTCTTCACAGCATGTTCAAGGCATCGTTGTTAAAAATTAAGTGACTATGTTTTAGTTCTGTCTTTGAATTCTTTACTGTATTTTCTTAGTCTACTTATTTATCCCAGGACAAACGCCATACTGTTTATCTTGCCTTTGTAATATGTGTTACAGATGGTGTAACTTTCATCTTTGTTTTTCACTTTTAGAACTGCCTTATTCTTGGACCTCCAGGTTTTGAAATAAATTTTAGAAACATCTTATCATAAAACTACTGAAATCGTATTAGAATTACACTGACTCTGTAGATAAACTTGGTGAAAATTGGCATTGACAATATTGAATCTTTTACTTCATATCTATAACAAAGCTACAATATTTCCTCTTACTACTGCTTTAGCTGCATCTCTCTATTTTCAATATGACATAAATTTCTAAATTATTTTTCTGTCCAAAAAGTTTTCTGATTTCTACTGCAGTCTACTTTGTACTGTGGCCTATTTAGAAATGTAAATCTTAATTTTCAAACATTTGGAGATTGTTCTATTTGTCCTTTGTTATTTTCATTATGTATATTCATAGAATATACTTGGTATGATTTCAGTCATTTGGTATTTTTGGAAAGTTACTTTATAAAAATTTATTTAAATAAATTTGTTTTATAAATATCAAGGCTTTCTATTGCTTTCATACAGCTTTCATTTTTGTTTTTGCATTTTATAAGTCTTGACCAGACTGAGTCTAAAAGCTGAAAGTGGAGTATAAGTGAAATGGCTTCTCATTGTCTGATCCATGATCTTCGTTGGTAGACTTCAGAAACAAGCTAAATGAGATGTGAGATTGTCATTGAAATCCTCTGCTTTCTTCAAATCCATGTTCCTGCCGGATGTGCCACTTGCTGCCACCACTTGGCTTACTAGGAGTAATCGTGACAATTCTTTTTTTTTTTTTTTTTTTTTTTTTTTGAGACAGAATCTCGCTCC